TTAGCTCAATTGGGCCCGGAGGTACACAAACCGTCACATCTCGGTAATGTCCATTCGCTTCAAGTGGATATAAATTTTGAAGGAACGCCCTTGATTGCCAGATACCGCCAAAGTTTCTGAACATCGAAGGGGTTCAAAGCAGCTTTCAGATCAAGAAAGATCACAAGCGTGGAAAAAAGTGGTGCGGTTTAAGGACTTGTCTCAAGATGATATAGTTGGTTAATCCTCGGCTAGGGAAGAACCCAGCTTGATCCCCACGAATCCTTCTCTTAAAAAATCAGTCCAACTGCACAGAATAATGCCAGAGTCCACGGTGGATTCACGGATGCCAGGCTGATGCCGTGATTGTTTTTACCTTACCTTATTGAGCCCTTTATGAAGACGGAAGACCGTCGAGGAGCTCCATTTGACTGGTATTCTGTTTTCATTTTAAATCTTGCAAATCTTCAAGATGATGATTTTCTGAGTGCATCTCCGTCCGTCTTTTCTTGCATATCGTTTCGCTGACTTATTGGTTGTTCGAATCAACTGAGATGTAGCACGACTGTTGCCTCCACCTCCTAGATCTTCGCAATCCACCAGCGTTCTCTGTCATTTTTTGAACTTTTGATTATCCGGTGTTTTGGAGACCATCTGAGCTCATCCGGAGACTTGAGATGCACGACCGAGGTGAGGTCTTGTGTGTTTCGGAGATACAACTTACATCGACAGAGGGAATGCAAGGCTTCAGCAAGAGATGCCGGTCGCCAAGTTTGATAAAGTAGGGTTATTGAAGGATGTAACGTCGATCAGATCTGGGGAGGTTAGTAAGTGATTATTTTTGTTTGTTTTTGTGGGTGACTGTTTAGACAAGGAACGGTTGTTAGAAAACTTTCAGGTAGGTTGATCGTAGTGCATCATTTGATGAGTTGGGATGGACTGTGGGAGGGCTGGTGAGCGAAGAACTACAAGAGCGAATGATAATTCCCGGTTGCCCAGACCGAAGAGTGGGATTTGTTTGAGTTACTCACCCTTAAACCTTTGAATCAAAAGTTGGACGCACAAGGCAGTGTGAGTATGTCGGTTTTTTCGGGGACTCTATCCCTAGCCTCCACCTCAAGTATGAGCCGCGAGGCGCCAGTTGTTTTTTTGGGAGCGCTTCTTCGGACTCGGCAGTCAGATCCACTTGGCTGCAGGGGGCTGGTTTGGCCTGAGGACGCAGGGAATAAGGCATTACAGCTGTTCACAGTAAGGGACCTTTTGAGCTGCACCGAACTCTTTGGTCTCAGAAGTATTTGGACCATATTGAATAACGCGCTGGCACTGACGGTCAACTGTTGGGCGATTGGATGTGCGGTGTTTAGGGCCGACATTTTCCAACCCGTCCTTCCTCGGAGAAAGGTAGCATTGCTGCTTCCATAAATATGAGAATGCTGGTCTCTTGGGGGAAGCGACTTATCATCGAGCAGAACAATACGACCTCGTAATACAATTTTCCGCGGTATGGGAACATGCTGTTCTTCGTTGGGTTGCTCCCCGTTAGCCTTTCCGTCATAGTCTAACCTTTAGGACCTGAGTTCCAGCCAGTATAACTCGCAGGATCATTGCGGCGTCGAAGGCAGATCATCACGACAAGGTGACAGCTTTAGGGTGGGGTGACCCGGTGTGACCACGTCCGATGACTAATAATTTAATACAGTCGGTCTTCCCTTCCAAAACGTGCGGAACTCACAGTAAACAAGAGAGTGACAGACATCAATGAACATTTTATTACCAGAACTACTGTCGTACCATTGGCGACAACAATTTCATCGGTAGCCCAACACCGGTTCCCACTTAGGACAAGAGAACCGGTGACATCAATGAACATTTTATTACCAGAACTACTGTCGTACCATTGGCGACAACAATTTCATCGGTAGCCCAACACCGGTTTTGCCCCACTTAGGGGTGATCAGGTGAGCTCAGTCTATTGAGGCTCCTTTGAACCCCAATCTGTCGTCAGTCTAGTGTGCTATAAGCCATCTGGTAGCTGAACCTCAGTCCCCGGACTGACGTAACTCTTTCTTAACTCCTATTTCCAGCTGTCTCGCAGTCATGTACATTCGTGCGAAAGTAAACCGTATTGACCAGACTGAAAGCGTCGCATCTCGAGACATTTCTGGCCTTGATCCGGATCAAACTATCGGCAATATAGTTCCCCAGCTACTGAAGACAGGTGAGAACTTGGATGGTCTGTATATCAGTAAGTAGCATTCTGTTACCATTTGGGGAATCTCGTCAGCATGTGTATACTGCGGAGAGGTGCTGGATCTGGAAAAGGCTTTGGGTGAATGCGAGATTGATTCCCTCTCGATCTTACAATTTTTCATCTAGCCCCAAACCAGCATTCCTTCGGTTAAAAGTAATACCAATTCCTTTGTATGAATCGCTCACGTATTCGATAGCCCCTCGACATAGACTCACAGATGTTTCTCAAACAATGGCCAATCTATACTGGCTCATACGCAGTGGTAGACTTTATAAGGTAACTTTTCAACTGACAGTCGTTGAACTCATGCTAACTACTTTCCCGACGTGATTGGATAGATCGAGCAATCCTTTCACATCCTGAAATCGGCCGCGATACAACTGCCTACTCGGTTCAGGATCTCGAATTCCCTGGCGTGGTTCTCAGGGATCAAGCCATTTTGGATAAGTGAGACTTACTTGGAATTCTTATCTCTTCTTGTCCTGCAGACTGATTGTCCATCCTTGCGTTCTGTCGGCGCTCCGTCTTGTTACTCAAAGTCTTTCTAGTCTAAATGAGAATTTTCAGGCAAAACCAGTTTCTCACCGTAATGTCATGACGAAGTCTACCACTTCTCCGGGGTCACAGGGTTATACTGTGGATCAAGTAAGGTTTACAATGCTCTCTCTCTATTATCCAATTTCGTATATCATTTTAAATTCCACTTGACTATTACTGCGGCTTACGCAAAGGGTTATGGGACCATAATGTTTAACACGTGCGCAATAGAGGGCACCCGTATTCCACAGGAAATTAGCAAATTCACCAATACATTTTGGAATTTCTGTGTTAGACAAGATGCATATCATCCTTTCGGGGCAAGCTGTCATACATCCCAGAGAATCCGCGATAGCGTGGTCACTGTCAAAATATTAACGTCTTCTCCCGCTCCGATGTGATAATACAGGTACGTTCAGCTTGCGCTGGCGGAGTAGTTGTTCGCCTACATATCGGTTGTCTATGGCTGAAGTCTCGACACTGCTAAGCATGATAAGTTCTCACGTGCGAAAATCGCTGCTCATGTCATTCTTCGGAATAATCGTCGCCGGACAACAGGAGGACTGTATAAACGAGAATAATATGTAGAAATGTCAGCGGTAGGTTGAACTCCATCCTATTCACGGATTCACGGATTGATACACAGGATCGAGGCTTTTGCCCAAAGCATTCAAAGCATTCACAGTATCGAACAGTCTATTCTACCCATACGGTTCCTCCGTCCGTAGCACATAGGCGAGATGGCTCAAGTGAATAGAGCGCGAATTTACTGAACGAAAGGTCCGTGTTTCGGACCCGGCATCTATTTCTCGACTTTTCTTGTTTAGGCTTGGGCCACCTGTCAGTACCCCAGCCCTCGTGCATCTTTATTGGGCACCGAAGGGGTGTTACAGCTGAGCGATCGACATAGGCATTTTTAAGAAGGATGTACCAGGTTTAACCAGACTATGTGGAAGAGTATAACACTGGAGTACACTCTTCTGCTTAACATGATTTAGTAGAAATTTCATCATGTCAGTAAAGCAGGTCTATGTTGAAAAGCCGAGAAGCACTGCACACTTGTTTCATCCCTGTTGGGAATCACCAGCAGTTCACAGCTGACGAACCTCAGAGAGTTTCGGACCCGTGACCGTCTGGCCAGTGGTTGAACACAAACGATTGGTCAAGAGTTGCTCATCAGCAGTGTGATTAGCTCTCAACAGGACAAGACATATCACCAGTCATCCTTCAATATCAGAAAACCATATCATGTGGTCACCTACTGAATGTCGGGAGCGAGATTGTTCAGTAGGAGGAGCGCGAATTTACTGAACTCAAGGTCCGTTTTTTTGAACCTGATCTCTGTCTTTCGACCTCTCCTGTCTAGGCCTGGGCAACCTGACAGTATCGCATCCCTCGTGTTTTCTTCTGATGGCATGGCAGTTAGGAATCGAAAGGGTGCTACAGCTGAACGACTTCGATTTCTACTGACCGGATCCTGGAGCGATGACTCCTTAGAAGAAAATTTCGCAATCCAGTGAAACACTCCTCCCTCGGAACTGCCTATTGTTTTCTGTCCTGCTGTAATGAGAGCTGGTCACACAGCTGATGGGTCAAATTTGGCCAGTCGTGTAAGTGTTCAGACACTAACCTGACGGTCGCAACTTCGGAACTCGGAGTTTCTTGTGGTACTCACTGCTCATGATCCCACCAAGGATGAAATAACTGTACAGTGCTTCTAGGCTTTTCAGCATAGATTTGCTTCACCGACAGGATGAAACCAGTGTCCAACCCAAGCTTCCAGTTGTGTTTCGCAGTCTTTGTTAACATTCACTTTGCGTTGTGTTTGACAACATCTGGACACCGCTTTACTACTGTTTGGTGCAATCTAACTAATCACCGCTGTGCTTGTTCATTGAGAATCTTGAAGACGATGCTGACGATGACGCTGATACCAACGCCTCCCGACAACCATCGGGATCCTAGCCAGTCTTGCTCACTCCCTATGGAGGACCGGGTGGGCTGGACCCAGATTCCT